GTTGTAAGCAGTTATATCTCACCAGCCAAAGGGGGTTGGGCCACATCTATGTGCAGGGACTCATATGTTATGTGTGATCCTCACGAGGTTGCTACTGTAGTACCTTCTCCAGTAGAACATGACTGTCACACAATGCCACAGGAAGGTGATGGTAATGGTGCAGTTGTGGATATGGTGTCCGATAAGGGCTTCTGCCTCCGGTTCTGCCTCCGGGCATTGTTACCAAAGCTTCCGCGCTGGGTTGAACATGGCCAAAAGGATGGTCATCTAACTGAAGAAATTTCGACTGTGTTGCGGATGTTTTTTGATATGATGGAAGCTGCCCGGGACACAGCAACTGTTCCAAATTATGATCATAACCCGGCTCTGGAGGGGTGTTGACACCAGTGCTGCCCCCCCATTCATTTGGCTGACAGAAAGAGGGCTCAGGTTGTTGGGTACCATGTGAATATTGCCGGCTTGGAGAGGAGGATGATTGCCGAAGCTGGTTCTCGCATCCGCCGTAGGTGCCATGGCCGGCGGCAAAGTCCTCACTGCCAACTCGGTGTCTGGCGGAGAAATTTTGCAACATTGAGCCCGAAATGGCCTCTTCACCTCCAAGGGCGACGCAATCCACGCTAGCAGGATGACTTGCTCAAATAAATGGTTCGGGGCCGTGCAACGAGCTCCGAATCGTAATTGACAAAGATGGATTCCGGATGGTAGACAGTTGATCGCTTAGGGAAAGTGTTGGATATCGATATAGAGAGTCTGCTTGTAATAAGCTGAGTTTTTGGGAAGGAAATGTATAGCGACTTTTCTGAGGGTTGCAGCCTAGTCAGTGGCTTGGCGAGAGTCGTAGCTAGTAACAAGTGAAAACTCGTAACTATATATGCTGATTGCTGTATTAAGCTTGCTCGGTTGCAGAAAGTGGGGGCTAAGTGTCTAGCGGAGGACACCACTCTGCAGCGTAGGATTTCGACAGGCCATGATGCCTGGAAGTGGACAAAGTTAGTGCGCGCAACGAAGACTGATACGAACATCAGGGACGTTGCACCGTGCGGCTTGGACAAGGGATACCAGGGCTGGGCCGGTGTATGATTGGTCCAAATAGACGGTTCATCACCCTGTAAGGTATTTTTGAATCCCTGCTGGTTGCTATGACGGAGCCCCTTCTGAGAAGATGGGAGAAGGGGAGGAGTTGGGTGGAATCACCGTTGTGTACCCGGTGACCCTGGACTCTGGACATTATCGAGGGCATTCAGTGGTACAGCCTGAATAGTCGTACTTCCTATGCTATGCCGTAAAAGGGAA